TTGCTCCTGACTTTGACCGCTGGTTAGATGAATCAGACGCTGAAATGGAACTGAAGGAGAAGGTCAGTCCCATGGGCACGCGTGGCTTGTGCTGCCGACTGCAAAGCAAGGGTAGCTGTTCCCCTGCACACGAGCTTGTGTTCTTCGTTTACCTGGAGTTGCCTGGCATGCTGATTGTTGCTGCTATTTCATACGGATCCCATGTAGAATTGGTTAAATGGCTCACATTGTAAGCAGGAATTCAGAAATCATAGAATGGTTTGGGTTGGAAGGGACCTCACAGCCCATCCAGTCCCACCCCCTGCCATGGGCAGGGACACCCTCCACTAGCCCAGGTTGCCCAAAGCCCCATCCAGCCTGGCCTTGAACACTGCCAGGGAGCCAGGGGCAGCCACAGCTTCTCTGGGCCACCTATGCCAGGGCCTCACCACTCTAACAGTAAAGAATTTCTTCCTAACATCTAATCTAAATCAAACCTCCTCCAGCTTAAACCCATTGCCCCCTTGTCCTGTCACTACACTCCCTGATAAACAGTCCCTCTCCATCTTTCCTGTGGCCCCTTCAGGCACTGGTAAGCCACAATTAGATCTCCCTGGAGCCTTCTTTTCTCCAGGCTGAACAATCCCAACCCTCTCAGCCTGTCCTCACAGGAGAGGTGCTCCAGCCCTCTGGCATGCTTCTGGCTAGAAAGAGCAGCAGGGCGAATCTGAACGGGTGGCTGTGTGCTGGCTCAGCGCTGGGCAGGGTCTGCAGCCAAAGGCTTGCACCCCTGTGTCCTGATCCGTACGAAGGTTGAATCAATGTGCCATACAGAGCCCAGAGACGCTGGTCCCGGGATTCCCAAGGCTCTTTCCTGAGCCACGGGGCTGGCCCCGGCGGTGCCTTCCCACCATCTGGTGAGCTCGAGCAGCTTACTGCAGTGGGGAGGTGCAACACCATCTTGGAAGAGACTTGAAGAGACCATGTTTCTGCAAATCTGTTTTCCAACAAACGCTGCCCTGTTCCCCTCCACAGCCCTCGAGCTTAGCACGGAGGAGAAAGGGCCGCCGCAATGCCAGGAGCCAGAAAGCGGCGGTGAAGGGCAGGCAAAGAGCCCGGGCGGGATGTTCTCAGTTCCCTTCAGGTCACTGGTGGGTCATGGAACGTTTTAAGGAACAGCTCTAAGAAACAATAATAACTGAGAATTAATACAGAAAACAGCAGGCTTTTTCAGCAAAAGCATCTAATTACTAGAATAAAATCCATAGCGAAGGCAGGGTAACTAGTTAACACCCTCTAGCTTTTACTGTACCATAATTTCTGGATGTGCTGGTTTATGGAGGTGAAAATGTAAACCCTCTAGCACCTGGCTGCTTAGCTGAGTTTTAAACCCGCTAGCTTTCCAGTAGTATAGTTAACAAATCACTTGCTAATTACAGTAACAGTCTTTAAAACTTTATCCTTCATCTTAAGGAAGAAGAAAAGATTAACAAAATGAAAATAGAATCCAGAGTCCCAAAAGACCGTAAGTAACCGTACGTTTTTAGTGTGTAAGGTGGGGTTCAGAAAGCTGCTGTCGCTCTTAAATGCAAATCTCAACTCTTACGGAGTAATTTTGACTGGCTCGGTTGCATCTTTTGACATGCTCGGATGTTTGTATTGTGAGCTGTTTAGAAATGTAATAAAAACAGACTGCAGTTTCCAAGGAATTTAGAAACACCTGACTAGCAAGAGTTGAGTTCTAGCAGATGATGGTAAAGGCAGGCAGAGCCCACAGTGCTCACAGCAATCTTTTTATCGCAATCAATAGCTTCCCTTTTTCTTGTGAGCTTCAGTCTCGTAGGAAGCCTGGTTTGCAGCTGTACTCTCCGTGGAAGCGTTACCATTGTACTCTGCTCACTTGATGTGTTTATTATTGGTTTTAGCTTTCAAACACCTGAAGAAGGGATACTTAATCATGTATAATCTTGTACAGTTTTTGGGATTCTCTTGGATTTTTGTGAACATGACAGTACGACTGTTCATCTTAGGCAAAGGCAAGTAATAAGCGTTATTTTATTTACATTGCGGGGGTTTAGTTTGGGGTTTTAGTGTTGTTTTTAATACTTCCTAAATAGTGAAATTTAAAGGAAGACATATTTGGGAAACAAACCCATAAACACATCACCAAAGCGCACAACAAAAGCCTCTCAAAAGCCATCACAGTGTCAAGGAGAGGAAAATACCGTCCTCTTGGGAACCGCAACTGCGTATTCTGGTGAATGACACTTGTACCCTGCCAAGATTACTTCTGAAGAGACCAGTTGGAGCAAAATGTCTCGCTCACTGTAATGTTAAGTATTTTTGAAAATGAGGTGGGCAGAATAGTTTGGTTTTGAAGCAAGAATGAGTCACTGTATTGAGATACAGCGCTATCGCTTTTTTTTTTTTGGTAAAGTAATTACCAAAATAGCTTTTGATCCCTCTGTGTGTGAAACGGGGCGCTCGAGCACCGATCCTGCCCTAACCGCGGTGACTTCAAGGTAAGGCCTATAAAGAAGTTATATAATTACGCATAATGTTTTTTTGAAATACAACTAGAATCCCGTTACCAAAAGCTATGCCGCCGCGCCGGCTTCCTGAACGTGGAAATTCATTTGTTCTCTAAAAATGGTTTCCTGTGTTTTACAGATTCCTTCTATGACACATTTCACACTATTGCTGACATGATGTATTTCTGTCAGACCCTGGCAGTGATGGAGATCATGAATTCACTAATAGGACTAGTCAGATCACCGCTGATACCTGCTGTAGTGCAGGTAATATTTTAAGATTCTTCTTGCTCCCCCCATCTTTAAAGTAAATATTTTACACAAGCGTTGAGGTTCTGCTAAGATAATTGATACAACTTCAGTGGCACTGGATTAGGGAATACGTTATTCCGAAGGCAGGAATTTGGGTTTCCCAGCCTTAGCTGTGTCTCCTTCTATCACCTAGGTAAGATGGTTCACAACAGCAAAAGCAAGAAGCGGATGATGAAAAGTACACGATGTTAATTTGGTTCCAGTGCCCTTTTTATCCAGGTGGTGGTGGTTGGACATAAAAATGAGGATAGATAATTAGGTCCCTCGGATTGCACCTAAACACAGAGCAAAGTGCCCGCGGGTCGCAGCTCGGCTGCGGTGAGTGTGTGCTCGGCGTGTGTTTCAGGCATGAGGAGTAGATATCCTGCGGGTTTGCAACAGTGAGGACTGGCTCCTTCTTTTAATGAAGAGTGTGACCGTTCCTTAATTTGTTTTCTTAAACAGATATTTGGAAGAAACTTTATTTTATTTGTTGTCCTCGGAAGCTTAGAGGAAATGCAGAGCAAACCTGTGGTGTTCTTCGTATTTTATTTCTGGAGTATCATTGAGCTATTCAGGTTTGTGGGATTAGTCTTCTAGCAGGTGTGTACAGAATAACGCGGTTGTTCCCAAGAACTCGTTAAAGAAGACTTTGATCTTTGTACCTTTTGGAAGAGCGGAAGTCCCAGCGGGTAAAATCTCCTCCAGTCCCAGAGTATCGCAGCCTTCCCAGGTCGCTCCATCTGCCAAAAGCTGGACAAGGCTGGAGTCTGAAAATAATACTGCCCTGCACCTGGGGAAACCTTTTGCTTTGGATTTCCATTAAGTGAGCTGCACTATGCTGTTTCTCTTTCAAAAGAAGTATTTTGAAAGGTTTATTAAGCAAGCCAGGTAGTTGCATTCATCCATATGATCAGAATAGCATTAGTGCTGTAAACAGCCAAATAAAGGTGTGTCCATCCTGATCCGTAGGGAACAAGTTTTGAATATTCTTGTGTCGTTTGGGAATTACGTTGACTATTCCATACAGCAGATATATGCAAGACTAATTCTAGTAGCAGCTTCCATTTTAAATAGCGTCTGTTTCTTCTCACACTGAACTGGTTTTAGGTATCCATATTATATGCTTTCATGCATCGGTATTGAATGGAAACCACTAACCTGGCTCCGTTACACTGCCTGGATCCCTCTCTACCCTTTAGGAGGTTTGGCAGAAGGTATGTCCAAAAAAGACAGTTTAATAAACAACAAACTAAATTTTTGATTCGGCTGCTGGACTAAAAAATAATAGAACAACAGATAAATAGATGTTTGCTTTGAGCTGAACCAAATGTAAGCATTTTTGTCTTTCTTACCAAATCAAGTATTTTTTTCAATTTGACGTGAAGTCTTCCCTTTGGCCACTGGAGAGGAAAGTAAAGGCAACAGAAGGTTACGTGAACAAATTGACCAAGAGCACACCGCGGTCCGTGTGAGCGGCACGGGACGATGATCCTTACGTCCCCCTGTATTTGCTTTTGTCTGCTAGATCCTACTTGGTCAGCCTAGCTTGGGTTCACACCAGCTCTCAGATCTTGATGTTACCTTGTAAATCATTGCACGGGACAGGCAGAGGCCGATTCTGCGTCTGAAAGCAGCACAGCCTGTTCGGAGACAGGCACCGTGCTTCCCAGATAGGGCTCTGCTCCCTTGCTGCTTTGAAGTCTTCTGTCTTAACAGATCTGGATTATTTTAAATTTTTATCTATTTAAGAAGCATATCACTGCTCAGCATCTAGCTGTAAGGAACGTGGTGCAATCGTACCTGTCAGAACCTGTTTCTGTGAGCCAGGAGTAGGCTTGGGCTTTGCCCAACTCCGAGCGCAGGAATGACGATGCCTGTTGTGTTGCTGCGCGTATTTCTGCATGGGAAATACAGCTGGCGGGGGCTCTGCAGGCTACAGTTGTGTACGAGAACAGTGTGTCTGCTTTCCATCATACTGCATGTTTAAAAAAAAAAAAAAAAAGCTTTAAAACTGGTATAATTAATGAGAGAGAGCAAATAAGAAGGGAATATCCTGAAAATGTTGGTGTGGGGCAATTGTATATTTAATCTGTTTGATAATGTGGCCTTCTGCTTTCAGCCGTCTGTATCGTTCAATCCATTCCAATCTTCAGTGAAACAGGGAAATTTAGCCTGGGATTGCCAAATCCACTGAACGTCACAATTCAGTTTTCGTTTTTGCTTCAAATATACCTTATAGCCTTGTTTTTAGGTAAGATACTTCATTGTATTTCTCGCTATTGATATAAAAAGGCCAGTTTCCTCTGAATAAGAATATTGTTTGAAGAAAATTAAATTCCTGCTTCTTGGGGATCGTGGCAACACAAAATTGCTTGAGGTCAAGCATTAGCCTTGTTGCTTGTTTATGTAAATTTGTCGGAGATGGAGGGGAACACACCTACAACTAGCACTGGTTAGCCCCCTGAGGAGGAGACCTTGGTAACGAGTTGGCATTATCTAATGATCACTCAGGTTAAAAGAATAATTTTTACATCTATTTATAACTTCAGTGTACTTAATTTCACCTTTTATGTAGCATTCGGGCTTTGGAATGATATAGTGGAAATCTAAACATAATTCCAGATTAAAGCAATGTTTAACTAAACTGCATTATAATCACTAATGCAACATGAAGTCATATTTATCCAGGAAGCAATATAGAAAGCTCTTTAATTAGTAGTGTATTTAAAGAAGAATGTTACTTGATACCTATTTGGTTTCTGCTGTTACGTATTTAAACATAAGTTAACTTGTAGTATGCACGCCCTGTATGTCTGGGTATGCGGAACTAAGTAGAACCTAACCTGGAGTTTTAAATTGAATCTCACTAGATTTCTCCCTTTCCCTGACATTGCTTAAAAGAATACCTTTAATCGAGTGTCACTCTGAAATACCTGTTTGATCCTTCCCCAGCTCTGCACAGCCGGTGTTGTAACTCTTTAAAAGTGACAGACCAACTTTTTGAGCAACTCCTGCCTCACCAGCAAGAAAAAATTTGCATTATCTTTCAGTGCTATGCACACCCTTAAACCATCGCGCTTTTTTTTGTGTGCTGGTTTGGTTGGTTGGGTTTTGGTTTGTTTTTTGGGTGTTTTGTTTTGGTTTTGTTGTTGGTTTTTTTTTTTAATTTGGGACGGCTGTCTAGTGTTAAAAAGATGCAATAATGTCCTACCTAAACAGTGCTTTTTTTTCAGGGGTATTTGTAAACTTCCGTCATCTCTACAAGCAAAGGAAACACCACCTTGGACCAAAGAAGAGAAAGATGAAGTAAAGGAGGACTGCAATGCTTTCTTATCTAACTTATCTCAATGACAAGATAAGCCTCTAATTCTTATGGTTTTACCCACTGTAATGTAAAGAATTTTGTAAAATTAAATGATCACGCTAGATTTCATGATTTCATAGTGAATTCAGATAACATTCCCATATACCGTATTTTGTTCCCTTTCAATCATGTGTGCATGGCATTTACAATTGAACATTTAAACTTGTATCCTGTCAACTACCATATTAGAAAGAAATCCTATTATCTGCATATAATATGCTTATAAACAGTGGAGCAGCACTAAATAGAAATAATGTTTATCTTTTAATTGGGTATTTGCTCTTTCAATATTGCATGCAGATAGGGCTTCTGATGCGGGGATATACTGTTAGCTGGCCCGTGCTGTTCCTAGGGTGCATCCCGATGGCAGGAGGAGCAGTCCAAGACCGCTGTGAACAGTTTTTGGGCGTTTATTAACGGTTGGGGTAATCTTGCTCAGCACATACCCCCTTTTCTGCAGCAGAATTAAAACTGGGAGTTGCTAATGTCGATTTAAATGCTACCAACTTAGTCTGGCTGTAGTTTAGCCTTAACAGAATAGGAGCGCTGCGTGGATCCTAGCATTCCTGTAGCCACACATCCTTATCCAGTCACTGGGGAAAGGAAGCTGTCGCTATGACAAGGTCAGAAATGCTTTCCTGGTTGGTAATGCAAGCACTGAAACGTAACAAAATAAGGAAACGTAGGTACTAGCTTTCTCCTAGCATGCAAACAAACCCCAGCAGAACTCCATCCCACCCATGCAATGGGAAAATGTGGAATTGTTGTGGGAGACCGGGCTCCTCTGATCGTTCCTGGCCAGGCTGTAACTGCTGTACCTACAGCCTTCAGAAAGGCAGCAAAGATTGCTTTTCTATTTAAACTCAGGGCTGCAGCTGAGCAGGTGGTGTATGTGCTGTTGCCTGGCCCTGGGGGATGGAGTAGTGGGTCAAATAAACCATATATTATTTTGATAGCGTGTATCAAATCTCAGGGAGATCGCTTTCCTCCATGGTTGCTTTAAACAGCAGCAGCAACAAAAAGGAGAAGCTCCCCTCCACATTCCAGGTCATTTACTTTCTCACCTGGAAACCTGTGTTTCAGTTGACTTAATTCTAGCATGCCCTCCACACCTAGCCTCCCGTTGTTCATTCCAGACACCTCTGGCCTCCTTAATCCAGTTTAGAAAATGTAAAAGTTTGCCCTAAACTGTGTTGTGGTTATGAACAGGCTGCTTCCCAGTAACTGCCGCTGCTCCCAGGGCAATGCAGAGCAATGCCAGCAATCCAGAACAGGCACCAAAGTTGAGATTAGCTTAGTGCCGAGTTACTATTAATCTTTTTCTACTGTAAAACAGTATAAATCCTCTAGAAAATTATTTTCTATATTAAAGGTAACAAACAGTTTATTGTTTGTGATATGGACCCAGTGATTGTTACTGTAAAGGGAAGGCAATAATAGTGTTATGAGGAGATTTTTAACAAAGAACTGGTGCAAGCTCCACGCTGCGTTTCACAACCTGTGTCCTGGCAGCAGGAGGCATGATGTAACGTCTCTTTTGGGATACTTGAGGCTCCCACTCAATGGAGAGAGCAGCTTACTTTACTCAGGACAGTCGAGCATTATTTACACACTTGATATTTCACTATAGCACACACTGTACCTATGTTTGAAGTATGTCAAAGGATTGAATTAGCTGAGTAATAGAACAGCAAGGATCACTTTTATACTTTAATTTCTCCACTGGGCATTTAAACTTCTGTTATGAAATCCGTATGTATTCATACATGGTATTTCTCTGTGAAATTGTGGTACCTAGTGCAAGCTGTCATGGATCTTACACTACTGAATTTTAGTCCTTCAGAAAGAATGTATTTCTATTAATAAAGATTTACAACCAAATTTTGCTTTAGTTCAGTTGTTTGTTCTTTCCCTGAATGCGAGAAGTATAATTTATTACTTAACTAGCGATAAACATCTGAGCCTTCACCAGGTCATTGTTTTAGGCCGCACAGCCTAGTTGCTATGAAAATGGAACAAATCCAACTTAAATTTTCATGAAGAATTACTCTTTATTATTAATATTACACAAATAAAAACCACGTTTCACAAGATTAAGTTACTTTCGCAAGCATAAGCACTGCAATCCAAGCGATAACTCTCATTACGGCAGTACAGACTGGCTTTCAAGTCGGGCATAAAATTAGCAACAACACCCTGGAATTAGCTGTGTATCTGATCTTGCACAATGATTCTTACATATGTTTTGTTTGGACTCATCAAGTTGGTGTATAAAGTAATAGTAGCTGCCTTTTAGGATAGTTTTCCCAGTGAGTTTGGTTATGTAGTAACCATATTCTTGGGAGGCCAAAAGCTGTGAGCAGTCTGCTGCCTACGACGGCATTTTCTTTCTCTCCTCACACATACTGAGTAACTTCCACCCATCACAGTAATTGACTTTGGGACACTTTCCACAGTTTCCCGGTCTAACTAAAGCCACCACAAACTACATTTATTTAGAGAGCACTGATGGAGGTAAGGGTCCCCGTTTTGATAGGAAGGTCTCCAAACAGTAATTAAACAGGCTCTAGAAAGTAAACAGGACAGTAAAATTTGAACCACTTGAGTCTTAATCTATAGAAGTTCCCAAAAACGGAGACTTCACATTCTTTCAGTGCTGCTACTGGAAAAGTCTGTCTGCAGTGGAGCAATGTTATGATCATAAGCAGCATATTCCGATGCTCCAGTACTTGCCACTTTAAGCTGCTGAGCAGCGTGTGTGAGCTGAAACGCTGCATCGGGATGCGCCGTGTCGGGAAGCAGAGTGCACTCCCGCTCCAGCATGTCTGCCACACCTTTCAAGAGGTCCAAAAAGCCAAAGGCCAGAGCTGCCTTTCGTAAACGGTTAAGTTCCTGCAAAGAAGGAAAAGTTTTAAAGCCACTGTAAGCCTTTACATAAAACGTGGATTTTTTTGTCTTTTTTTTAAAGGCAAGCTTAGTCACTTAGAGGAAAACAACCTGAGTGATCAGTACAGCTGCTGGAAACCACCCACCTGCTCATGAGATAAAAAATGCTTCAGGGCTGAAGATGACAGTGGCACGACTAAACAGCTGTTTCTCCCTTGATCCTTTCCTATAAATCTCCATTTCTCACTTCTCCCCTTTGTGCATTCAGCTGTTGTACCTGTCTTGTCCGTGTCCCAGCTGGGAGTGGCCTCCGACTTAGGCTTCACTGACTGCTGCCTTTAACCACAGTGTCCAGCAAAATGGATCTACATTGATTTTTCTTCACTATAAACTGATGAGTGCTTACGTGCATTTAGGCAGGGTATTCATTCTGGATGTCTCTGGGGCTACAGTAACAAACTGCTTCAGCACTAAGCTTACAAGAGGAACAACAAGTACCTCCACCTACAGTCTGGATTATGGATTATTACGATGTGGCCAAACGCGCCTGGAATTTTGTCTTTCTCTCTTTAGTTGTAGAAACAATCTAGGAGACGTTTTCAGACCCAGAATGACATCTGTGTTCCTATTCCTCTCAGCTTATTTCTGCCTGGACAACACCTTAAAATCAGGAAACAAGTTCACTATGGAAGTAGCAGGGATCCTGAGGGGCACCTGTAAATGTGACACGTCTATGCCACCCTGCCAGAGAACGCGTTGGCAGGGAAACCAGACCCCCTTGTCTCAACTTAACCAGTCTGTAAACCAGACCCAGGACGTCTCCTTCTTTACAGAACCATATATGTTTTTGCAGAGCCCCACAAGCCTGCACAGAACATACCACAGACACAGACAGTGTATGTTCCTCTGTCAAATGCACCACTACCGCTATGGATCAAACTTGGGTCGGCCGGAACCGTTACTCACTTTATAGAAGGTTTGAGTTTTTTCAGGGAGTTTCCTTGCATTTCTCAAGATCTTCTGTACATCTGTCTGCAGAAAAGAAAAAAAAAAAAAAATTTCTTGGCAACCGCTGGGGAAGTTGCAGAAAAAATCCTCAACTCTTTATTGATAAATTATCCTGATGACTGGCAAGAACGCAGCTCACAAAAGCTGAAACATAAACGGTAATTATACTAAATCCAATAAACTAAGCCAGATACTACACTGGAGACACATCTTTCATTAAACAAGCTATGCTTTCTGATTGCATTTTAATCATGACATTTTAAAGAGGCAGTGTTTATAAAAATGAAAGAAAAGCAATAAAGCCATTACATTAAATGGACAAGACACACACAGACTCCACTTTGCTGGTAAGATGGCTACTGCTGATCAAAGTAAAGCATCAAGTCCAAAACCAGTATCATTACCTGGAGGCCACTTGGTTTAATCCATACGGTGACATTCTGTGCGTAACTGCGCTTGTTCTTGGGTTGCAAGGGGAAAGGGCTCTTATTGTCATCCTCTCCATAAGGATTTTCTTTCGCATCTGGCGGTGGAGGGCGGGAAGAAAATAAAAACCACTCAACAACTAAGATTTGGCAAGGTCATTCACACAAGGAAACACTGAACGTGTAACAGTTACTGAAATGAGCGTGACTGGTACCTGAAATGGGTCCAAGCTGTGCCATCTTCCCTAGCCACGGAAGGGGCTCAGGACCAGGTTCAAAGAGCGACATCATGAGGTTTGATTTCTTCTTGCTATCAGCTTGTGAATAGAGCATTCCATACCACTCTGGCCTATCAAAAAGAGCAAATCCCACAGGCTGAAAATCTTCCACCCCTCTTTGCCTAGAATTTGCTCCCTCCCACTGTGTGGAGGCTCACTATTTGCAATTTATACTGGCAGAAACATATCCACAACTAAAAATCCACAGCTTTGTCTAGCAGCACAGAATTCTGTACAGAGTACAGATATAAATAAGCACAATTTATAAATAAAGCATAAATAAGCAAAGTAAGAGATTTTTCAGGCAGACATCCAGCTCCATACCCCAACTGGACGACAGCCACCATGCCTTCCACTTTCAGGCTGCCATGTAATAAAACACAGAAGTTGGGGATTTTCCCAGCAATCTGATTAGCTGAATTCTCATCTTCAGTGTCATCTGTGATGCCAGGTCCCACCTCATCACCTTCTGGGGAAGAATGAATGCAAACAAAGAGGCAACATAAGAACAAATTCACACACACTAGTTCTATTTCCATGACACCACCCTGTATCCTCTGCTGTGCAAGAGTCAATTAATACTTTTGTAGAACGAACAGCTGGTAATTGAACGTTTTGGGCAAAGTAGCACTATAATGTTATATAAACATTCCACTGCATCCTACTCACAAAACAGTTACCAAAAAACCTGCAAATAAAACCTCAGCTTTGAAGAAACTGGAAGTGAAATAAAATGGCACCAAGAGTCTGGCACCGAATACATGGCTGCTTCTGAATCAAAAGCATCCTGAATTACAAGTCCTCCTCTCCTACGCCATTTATTGTCACTATGAAAAATGTACTATGTTTTAGCAGCTGGAATACAGCTGTG